CCCCAAAACCCCAAAACCCCAAAACCCCAAAACCCCATCCTGATAGAATAATTTTAATTTTGAGGATTAGAAATTTAGTAAATTAATTTTCACCAATCAGATGAAAGGGTTCTTTAAGTTTTCATTTATTATTCTTTGTTCTTGATCAATTTGTTTTTAAGTTAGTCCAGTTCTATTTAAAGACAATTATTGCTTCTCTTATTCTATTTAGGTCTGATATTTGTTTATACGTTAATGTTTTTCTCCACTCTTAACATCTCTAAGAAACAATCCATTTGTTAGGAGTAAATTTATCAAGAATAATATTCCAGATAGTCTCATCATTTGTTTACCATACCATAGTGGGACTCTCAAATCTCTAGTTAGGAAAGAGGCTTGAATCATGAATATTCCAGCAAACAAGGCTGAAGGTAAGAAAGAATACATCTATAAATCATCTAAAAATGTCAATGATAGAGCAAGAGATACAAGCCCTAGTAGAGGCACATTCAAGCTATATTACTTAGGGTTAAAATTATTTATTGAAATGAAAAATACCTTCTCGAAAATCTTTGAATTATTCCAGGTGCAGCTTGAGTTGAACTTAGAGTATGATAGGTAGAATACTTCATATACAATAATCCTGATATTCCACCGCAACCTATCTAAAATATGATATGAATGAGATTACTGTCATCAATATTTAGCATAAAAACTAATGGTAAATGTTGTAGGTATTAGTATGCAATGGTGTGTAATAATCGCTTAAAGAAACTCCAGTCAAAAAGCAAGCAAATGATAAAAAAGATGCTCCAAGCAATAAGAAGCTGATTATTAATGGGGCTCTTGGTTTAGTCACGTATTTAAGCATGTCAATATCAAATTTCATCTGATTACTTATCATTCTAATTATTAGACATTAAGCACAAGTATGTTTTACGATTGCTTTTCCTTTTCTTGAATTAATTCCATAGTTCTCAAATTAAGTTTCTTTTTGCTTAGTGTTCCACCACCTGCTTACTACCATGCTTATTAGGATTTTAAAGGTTTTATTTGTTCCTTTATTCTTATATTTCTTAGATCTTTTGATAGCAGATTAATGGCTATTGAATTTTTTCTCAGCTATTGTAAAACCCTGAAATTTAAAGACATTTTGTTTTCGATAATATAAATTTATAAATTTAAATGCTGAATTAGAATAATTGATGAGTTGTTTATGATGACATAGATTTAATGTAAAATTTAACTTTTAAATAATTTTAAGAAGACAAACTAAGCAATCAAAGTCAGTTTGATTGCTTTCATCTCCCTAGAAATATCTATGTAGAATAAGAAGGAATCATGCTCTTAATTCACCACTTGCGATTTTGTTTAATAATTCATTCTCGAGTTCGTACATAGTAATATTTCTCTCTCTAAGTGCTTGCTAGAGGGCCGAGAACTCTGGAGTCTTGGTGAATTCGTTTTCATTGAATCTGGCTTAATTTTTTTCATGCTCACAAGTAGCAGCTCTCTTAGCAAGTAAATACTTATAAGAATTTTCTAGCAATTATTGGGGTTATCTGCTAGCGTTATATAACAAAAGTGCCCACATTGGGATGAAACCAGCAGCTAGCCAAAGAATATTGTACTTCTTTACAAATTTAGCATAGACTCCAATTCCAGCTCCAAATAACCATGCAGCAGCAAGTTGATTAGATCTCCATGCGAAAAGTGATGCTGGATCCTTAAGCCCTTTAGTAAAGCAGTAGCCAGTAGAGTATGGACAGAATACTTAGTGGAGTTCATGGACTTCATCGTGAGAAATATCTCCTAGAAGTTGCCTGTAAGTGAGGACATCAATATCTTAGAGACGATGGCGATATTGGATGGGATCTCTGAAACTAGTTAGAATATTCTGGAAGACACGTCTGAGTCCCTCTCTGGTAGCCTACTTGTGGATCTCAAAGTGATTGAAATAGCGACGAGCTGTAGAATCCCACTTGTGAAGGAAAGACTCCTAGTTTTGCACCTAACTCTCTGGAGATACTTGCATTCTTTTCCTTTATATATTAATATTATACCGACATTATTTTTTCACAATTATTAATATTTCATCATGAATCAGTACGCAAGGGGTTTTGGGGTTTTGGGGTTTTGGGGTTTTGGGGTCGTTTTCATTGAATCTGGCTTAATTTTTTTCATGCTCACAAGTAGCAGCTCTCTCCCCCAAAACCCCAAAACCCCAAAACCCCATGATTCGAATTATTAATTAATATGGAAATTAGGAGAATAAAAAAATTAAAAGTTCGAATTACTAGCTAAATCTTGTGGTATTTATATCTATTTAATTAATTATGATGAGCTACATTTCATCTAACCGTATCTCCCTCACTATATTTAGTGTTCCTGCAATTAAGAGCCTTACAATTTTAGCTCTAATTCTAGTTTAATCTGTGACAGGACAGGGCTGGTTTATTGGATGAGACGTCAATTTAGACAATGTAATGAAATCACTAAATATTGGCAATGGAGATAATGATTAAAATAAGGAAGTCATCAAATCAAATAACATATTTAACCTCCTTAAACCCAAAGAATCTGATAAGAATTAAATCCAATAGAAAGCTGTTACACCCAATTATATTTCAAGGCTTCTCAAAGAGCCTACTACTATTTCAAATTTACTATAAAAAACTTTGGAAAAGCCAGAAGGAAAGTCTTAAAATTCTAAAATAAAAGATGGAAAGATCATTCATGTAATTGCTCATTCTCATTAAGATGCTGGCTGGCTAAAGACTCCTGATGAAAATTATGATGATTATGCTAAAAACATCTTTACGACAGTAATTTAAGAGCTAATAAAGGATAGTAGTAGAAAATTTAACCAAGCAGAAATTATATTCTTCAAAAGATATTATGAGGAAGTAGGTGAGCTCTAAAAACTTGAAATAAAACAACTCATATCTGAGGGAAGACTTTCTTTTGTACACGGTGGCTACGTATCTAGTGACGAGGCATGCACATTGTACTATGACATGATTGAGAATATAGTACTAGGTCAAAATTATCTTAGGGATACTTTTGATGTTGAGGTAGACATCGCTTTTCATGGTGATTAATTTGGAAGAACAGCTATGACAAATAAACTATTATAGCAAATGGGTTTCAAAGCCTATTTTGCAGGTAGATTTAGTGATGATAAAAGAAACTAGCTAAGGTAAAATAACAACTCTCTCTTTATTTGGAAACCTACAATGGAGGGAATCGAAGGACCATACCCAAGTTCTAGCTGTAATCCATTTTTATTAATTTAATTTTAGAAGGAATATTTACTCTAGTTAATAAAAGACCTTATCATGCGCCTTGTTAAATAGATTTAATATATCGGCTATATGATACAGATATTGAGACCCTCGTTCGTGATAATCTACAAGAAGATGGGACTATAAAATGCATTGAGGAATACATTTAAGGCTTTAATTAGCAAAATATCTATATGCCCTTTGGAGATGATTTTGCCTTTGTAAATGCCAGAGATGTTTTTCAATTCATTGAGAACTTCAACTCTACTGTTAATAAGTATACCGATAAGTATTAGTTTAAATACAGCACTTTCAAAGATTATCATGAATAAGTTACAATGGAGCTGAAGGACCAAGGTACAAAGTTATCTGTATACAAGGGAGATTTTGTCCCAATGACGGAGTAGCATCTTGGAAGTTACTGGAATGGTTACTACACTAGTAGACCTACCTATAAGGAACTCATGAAAACTTACACTCTTTTATCATACTTTATTACAACATTCCTATCCTACGATGTAATGACTAATAGTGAATATCAGCAACATATCTTGAATGAAGCTATCTAGGTTGAATGGAGTGTCTTAACTCATCATGATTTTATTACAGCAGTTTCAATGAGACGTATAATGGATGGTTAAATAAATGATCTTCATACAGTGATGGAATACAGTGCCCCTCTCATTTCTGAAAGTATAAAATCAATCAGCAGTTTAAAGTTTGAATAACTGAACTACATCTACCACAAATATACTACTGATTCAATAACTCCTATACTTGAACTATATGAAGGACACACTAATTACTTTGTAATTTATAATCCATCTCTGATAGAGCTAAATTTTGTTTCATTCAGATTTAAAAGATTCAACAAAAATGCAAATGTTGAAGCATATAGTCCAGATTTGAACAAATTTGTAAAAGTTTAATATGACTAACACTAGCTGAGTGATTTTAAATCGCAAGAATTCATTGAAATATAAATAAGTTAAACTTTGAAGCCTCTAACTTTTGGATATTTCAGCTTTACTCTTATTGATAATAAACTCAAAGATTCTAGCATTAGTCTTTCATAAACTATAACTTTTGAATAATTTGATTAATTCCCAAAAGAAACTATTCAAAATGTTGGTTAGTTATCATAAATAGAGAATATTGACTATCAAGAAAATGAGATAATATTTGCTGATAAAGGAGAAGAAGTAGAAACTGATAAGATAGTCAAGGCATAATAAAATGTCATTATTGCTGGCTAATGCTCGCTTAAACTTGTTGAGAAAGGCTCTTCAAGTCTCAAATTTGTATTAGAAGATTTAGGTCAAAATAAAATATCAAATTTCGAATTAGCAATCAAATTCTATCATAGCTTTACAAATAGAAATTTCGGTTAAGATGGACTCTATATATTTAAAACCACTGACTCAGAGCCATAGGTCTATTATCTTGAATTGGTGTCAATCGACTTTCTATAAGGAAATAAGTCATCCTATTTCTAAATTAGGTATAGATCCTTTTTGGATGGTGATATGGTTATACTCCTCAAACTTTTTGATAGCAAGTCTGATAATAGCTGTGGAGATATAGAATTCGATGTTCAATCAATGGGAATAGAACCAGAAAGAAATGTAATTATTCAATGGAAATCTTTTGACATTAGGAATAAAAAGATATTTTACACTGATTCAAATGGTTTAGAGATAATGAAGAGGACTCTTAAAAAAGGGGTAGTGGCTGCCGAATTTCCATCATTAGTCCCAGCTAACACTTATCCTGTAGACACAGTGATCTTTATTGAAGACTCTAAGAAAGATTTATAGATGCTAGTATTTAACGATAGATCTTAGGCAGGTACTGCCTTCAGAGATGGTACTATAGAGTTGATCTATGATAGAAGAACTAACTCTAATGATTGGTTGGGTAATCCAGAAGATTATAATGATGTTGATAAAGAGGGAAAGCCACTCAGATCAAATAATAAGTATTGGCTAAGGTTCACCAATAGCAGATAAGATGCATTCAAAGCAATTCATGAAAGGACAATGAAAAATATTAATCCAATACAGTACTTTTCAGCAACAGAGCTTATATCACTTCCAACAGAAAATTAAATATAGGCTATTGTTCAGCAAAATTAAGAATTGATTATACATCTAAAATAGCTAAACATCATTGATATCAAGTTAGTGACTGATGTGAAATTCTAAGAGATTATGGTATATTTAACTTAAGGAAATATAAGCGCTACCTAACGCCTAGAAAAAATCAACTTTAGATAATTATACACCAAATACTGTGAATATTTCGCATTACAATTACAGAGTAAATGCAGAAATTTAAAGACAATACAGCAGACTAAGTTAAATGGCTCATAGCTTGATAGAGGATATTTAAATGAATTAGAATTATATTCAAGCGCAAGAATCCTAGCTTTCAAAGTAACATTTTGATTCAATTAAAATTCTTTCTTAATTTCTCATTTTTAAACGAATACTTGATTCAAGGGGTTTTGGGGTTTTGGGGTTTTGGGG